CTCAGAGAGAGAGAGACCAGAGAGAGAGAGAGACCTCAGAGAGAGAGAGACTCAGAGAGAGAGAGACTCAGAGAGAGAGAGAGCGCCTCAGAGCTAAACACATGATGAATGTCCCTGTTTGATGTGTGGGCACCGACAGGAAGTGGCTGCAGTATTTACCCAGAGGCCTCTCTGCTGCTGCTGTACTTCAGTAAAGGTTTAACGGCTGTTCTCACTGGGTTGCTTGTGATTTGGCTGATGTTTATCTGGGTAGTTTGAAAGCCACTCATATGGTCTCTAGTTGATGAAATAGTCTGAGCGTGTACAGTTACAATAACATCATTTGGGTGTACATGAGGCACGTTCACACCGGAGTACTTTTACCCGTACTTTTCCCGTTTAGTTCCGATAGGTCCTAGGATTTTGTGTTCACACCAAAAAGAGAAGTTTTACCCCCATTTTTAGTCCCTGCTAGAGAGGTGGGACTTTCCTGGGGAAAAAAAAGTACCAATTTCGATTGGCTGGGCGAATTGCAAACCACGCCCCGTAAAATTCGGAAAAGTTTTGTGAAGCCGCCATTGTATTTGCTGGCATTAGCATTATTAGCATTAGCCCCGCGCACCAACGCAGAGAGACTAACTTATGGCAACACAAAAGAAAACATGGGAGCGGTGGAGATGAGGAGGTGTCGGCGTTCTGGCGATTTACTCGGAAGGCTTCAGTAGAAGCTGCTGGGAGTCCCAGCAGCTTCTACTGAAGCCAGTCCCCAACTCCGGGCACTTCCGGCCTTCGGGTGGCAGTATACGCCGTGAAGTGGTTTGCGGCCTGCCAGTAAACCCAAAGCAGAAGAAGAAGAAGTGACCTCAGTGGCTTCATTTGCCTAATCTTCCCTCAGGGACTTGACTCGTGTGAACCAAGCCCCCAGGAAGTACGCCGGAGTCTGATGAGAATATTCGTTGTGGCCAAACGGCGGTACCACACTTCCTTTAGGTTGCTGGGCCCGGAAACACTTTTTCCCATTGACTTACATGGGGAAAGAGTGGTCTGTAACTCGTTGGATAATTTTTTTTAAACTAAATAAACTACCCAGTATGATCACTTATTAAAAACATTCGTTCCTCAAGTTGTAAACATTTGCTAATAACGTTATTCTGAGAGTTATTTCCCTCTGCATTATGAACGCGCATCTAACCCACGGGACCGCGCCGCCCGGCACGTTCATGTTACGTGTTTACCCATGGATACACAATAAGAACGGACCATATCGCCTTACTGCCATCCCACAGAGCTGTAATAATGGATATATTGCACATGTTTGCTGTAATTCATCATTTGTAAAATATTATACTACATGGGCGTATGATTAAATCTTGTACCGTACATTTTGTATTAAATAAAGTTAATATTACCGACGTTAGATTAACGTCCCTGTAGCTTATTATTGCACTAAGAAGCTTATTGCACTGTGTATATATATATATATATATATATATATATATATATATATATACACAGTGCAATCATTCTTTCATGCTAAATGAAGCTCTGTTGGATATCACTAGATCCTGTTACAGCGTAATATAAGTACATAACGATTGATGTGTACATTAGCATCATTACTACTACAGATGTATTTATTATAAACGTTAGTCCTTAACACCTATCACTGTGTATATCACCATTCAAACATCTTTTAAAAGTTGAACAAACCCCACACAGCTCAGTGAAATGGTGACTTTATTTGACAATTTCAGTAAAAACTAACGTTCATATTTCTCTTTTTGATTATAATACTGATGAACGTTCAAAACAAAGCACTTTGGCAACTTACCACATACGTTTTAAAAAGCTTAATAAGCACCGTAACTTTCATGATATAATTTCTCCGTCATAATCGTTTGTTTCCGTGAACGGCCGACTGTTGAGTGACGCCAAATGCTGCGGCTGCAAGGCATTGTGGGGCAGCATTTTCTCCTCTCCTTTCGGTTAGGGAGGTCCAGTGGTTCCTAAGCTAAAGGAGGTTATAAAGGAAGTTTGAAACCTCCTTTCCTTTCATGTAGAGAATTGGAACGGCACTTATCATGGCTGCCAGTGAGGGACTTCCGGGTCATTTCACTTGGTTAGGAAGGTTCCTAAGCTAAATGGACTATTGGAACGCAACCCTGGTTTCTTGGTGGGGGTACTAAGTGCTGGGCACTAAGTACGGCGAAGTACTTGGTGTGAAAGCGGCTATGGAGTCTAAATGACGTTGTTGAAATGTAATGTCATATGGTAGGAACTGTGAAAATGCTAAGAGCAGCCAACCAAGAGTGAACTTGATGATTATGTTTATTATACACTCATTCCCTTACAATAATAACTTACGAAACATGTATAACACCCCTTTCCTTGTTTTAAATACAAAAATGTGTCTACGGTGGGTTTTTTGTGTCTGTGAGGCTTACTTTGACAGGCAATATGACAATAACATGCTGGTGTTGAAAAGGTAAGACAACCCAGCTGTTCAAATGCACATTAGCCAGTAAAGTATTTACAAATGGTTGTAGAAGTTATTGTCAGCACAATAAAAAGTATTGCAATATAAATGTATAATGATCTTATGTTTATCTGCTAATATTTGCTAATGCTAACATTACTTTAGCGCACATGTGTCAAACTCGAGGCCCGGGGGCCAAATCCGGCCCGTGGTGGATTTAATTTCGGCCCGCAGGATAATCTCTAATTCCTATTAGATCTGGCCCGCCGGTATATTGCACGCACACCTTCACTCCATCCTGAGGGTCTCCTCAGCTCAGAGCCTGAGCCCAAACATTGATGACCTTGCACCCAAGATGAGATGCCAAGTATCTGAGCTAGCATCACAGAGCAGCACACTGAGTTTAATGGATGTTTCCTTCTGCACTTCCTCTCTCACGACAACAGGGCATGTTTGGTTTTCTCTTTGAGGGAAATAGTTTTGTTGAAGCTGTTGTTGGCCTGTGGAAAAATGTAATCATAAGAAATGACTCTGGAAAAGCTGCAGATAGAGCCATAAGAAATGAATGCACCTGATTATTTAATGTTTAATGTTGTTTTTATAGGCAATAATTGAAGCTTTGTGAGTTCCAGGTTTAATATGTGCAATAAGTTCATTTCAATAAGTTCTGCAATAAACACTGAACCAGTCCGGCCCTCGACTAGTACCCATTTTTTATTTTGGCCCACTGTGTATTTGAGTTTGACCCCCCTGCTTTAGCGTATGTTAGCATGTTAACTTGTGCTGGTTACCATTGAACACAAGTAGGCTAAGGCCGGTGATGGGAATGTTATTAGTTTGGCCGGTTTTAAGCATACCATTTTGCTATTTTAGCCAATCTCCACTTTGTTTAGATGTCACCGTCTTGTTTTTTGGAAACTGGAGTTATATAGTAATCCTCCTTATATATATATATATATATATATTTCTGTCTGGGCCAATGTTTTGGACCAACAGACCGTCAGCCCTACAGCCATGCCGCTAGCACAGCAAACACACCATCAGCATATTAAGTATTAATGTACGTTTCCCATTTAGAGTCACAAGGAAATCACCAAGAATGACATTTTATATGCAAGCAGTGTAGCATTTCTTTTTAAAGCCTCAGATACCCCGAAGATAAGTGTGGTTTTAGCTCCTTTAAAGTGCAGCTTTAACGTGTGACATGTAGCTGTGCTGAGTGTCTGTCTGCAGCTGGTACTCTGACGCTGAGTCACTGTGACTATGCAGACTCACGCTGACAGCAAACCGGCTCACTTTAATAACTTCTGACACCACAGAGCTTCCTGCCACGCTCCTGTTATCTGGAAGGCAATATTATGTTGACAATATGAAAATGAAGAGTGACTTACAGTACCACACCCTCTTTGGTTTTGGCCTTGTATTCAGTTCCTATTAAACCGAGTATTGAGTTCATCTAAATACGGGACAATGGTTTTGGAACGTCATGGTTGTTCAATTTCAAATGGATGTTCAGAAATGTGAAATGCAGATGTGGCGCGGAAACATCTGCACCGCTATTTGCTCTTTCCAACATTTTGTACATTCTCTACATATTCATTTGACAATTTCCTGGAAATGAGATAACAGTAATGTAGATTGAGAACAAATCTGTTATCTGTCACTTATTTTCTATGTTGACTTATCTTGAATGTCAGAAAATAATTTAAAATGTCCCAGTTTCTCAAAATCCAGTGTTTTCTAAAGTCTTGTTTTGTCAGTACCCGAAGATATTCACTTTAATGTGAGATAAAACAGAGTAAAGCGGATTTATTTAAGAAGCTAAACAACGACCTTTCCTGCCCTTTCACGATGAACAATTACAAAACCATCATCAATTATATTGGCGTTGCTCAACTAATCGTTGTTGCTCTGGAAAAATCAAAGCATAAATATGATTTGGCCTAAACTTAGATAACAGAAAATGATTCATTATTATTATAAAAAAATGAATTGTCCTCAGAGTTTGATATTTTGCTGGTTATTGTTATGTTATTGTATAATAAATACGTTTAGATTTTGAACTATTGATGAAAACTTAATGAATGAAAGCTGTTTTTTTGAGTAATTTTAACAAATGACCACTTAAGTCAAATATAAGTAAAGCACTTTCCTATGTGTGCTAGCTGTGCTATGTTGTCTTAAGTTGGGTATTTCATGTTTGCTATACAAAGTCAGACATTTAGGGGACTTGTGAGCAGTGGGATGTTGGAGATGAGTCCTTGTCGGTCATACATGTGGTCACCATGTGTGATCAGCAGCTGCAGTCAGTGTAGCATGTCGGCTGACAGGAAACCAGCGCTCCTCACTCTGATGCAACGGAGCTGCAAGACCTGACCATGTGGCACCCTGGAAATCACTCCATGATTTTCCCATTGAGTCATAGTTAACATTTCTTGAAATCTACACAAGTGAATGCATGCACTTACAACTTTTGAATCTGTATCTCCTGCTCTCTGCAGAATACGTGTGGGAAATCTCAATGCATAGCTCATGAGTATTAAACTTAGAGAAGTCAACAAGGAAGTGACTCCAGACACAGTCCTCTGGGAAAGGTTCAGGACCTTTAGCAGCATGGGAACGAGTTGTAGGATTGTGAGGAATATTAGCTTTTTTGATGCCAAATGCATGAGATATAGACACCAATCTGAGAGGCATAGTTTGACATTTAAAAACAATTAGCTTGTTCACGTTTGGTGGGTGAGAAAGAGGAGTGGGTCGGTGTGATCGTGTTAGCTTAGCTTGGCACACATAGTGTAAAACAGGGACACAGCTAGCCTGTATTTGTCACATGTCACCTCTGAAGCTCCCACGTTAACCTATTATAACTGTAAACCAGAAGTGCAAAAAAGTCAGTTTTCTGGGTGGTCGTGTGCAGGACTACTTCTTTGACGGAAGCAGTAACAGGGTTTGTGCTAAGCTAACTGGCTGCTGGCTGTAGCTTCAGTCTATCGTACAGAAGTGATTTCAGCCCCAATTATCTTGGTTTGTCACTAAAAGTAATTCCTTAAACATTTCTATTTATCATTTTGTTTGGAAACTCAACCGTAGGAGAACGTACTGGCCATGATTACATGTCTTCTACAGCTCAGTGTTAAAGCATTACATTTTCTAATTCACTGATACACACAGCACAAAGACCCCACAGGAGAAATGCTGATATGCATTGTAGTATGTTAGTTATTTCCGTTGTTCCTGATTGAACACAAGATAAAAACTGGAGGCCACTTCCTGCAATGTCTTTCTTCCTGAATGTTGTTTTGACTGAAGGGGCTTTCTCTCCCCTCTGTGCTGCAGGTGGGGGGCTCTAAGATGGGAGTCATTCGCTACATGGGGGAGACAGACTTTGCCAAGGGGGAGTGGTGCGGGGTGGAGCTGGACGAGCCTCTGGGGAAGAACGACGGGGCAGTGGCTGGCACAAGGTACGCACGCACACACACACACACACACACACACACACACACACACACACACACACACACACACACACACACACACACACACACCATGTATACATCACTTCAGGGGACATTACATTGACTTACATGCATTTTCTGGAGACTTATCCTAACCATAACCAACACATGCCTAACCCTTACCAAGTCTTCACCCTACAATTAATGATACCCCTTATGGGGACCTCCATTTTGTCCCCATAAGGGAAGCCAGTCCCCACACGTGACTGTGTAAACAGATTTAGGTCCCCACAAGGATAGTAATGCTAGGTCTCTCACACACACACACACACACACACACACACACACACACACACACACACCATGTTTACATTACTTCAGGGGACATTACATTGACTTACATGCATTTTCTGGAGACTTATCCTAACCTTAACCATAACCAACACATGCCTAACCCTAACCCTAACCAAGTCTTCACCCTAAAATTAATGATACCCCTTATGGGGACCTCCAATTTGTCCCCATAAGGGAAGCCAGTCCCCACACGTGACTGTGTAAACAGATGTAGGTTCCCACAAGGATAGTAATGCTAGGTCACACACACACACACACACACACACACACACACACACACACACACACACACACACACACACACACACACACACAATGTATGCTTCAAGCTCCCCAAATTCCTTTGCTTTTCCCCTAAAAGGAAATGGAGTGGAGGGCTGCGGCTCCATCTGTTCACTTCTTTGTTCTTTCATCTGTTTGTCCGTGAAATCACTCCGACTGACACACTAGCCCAGAGCCGCTGTGCCATATTCAGGATTTGCATTTGCTCCACTCACAGAATCCGGATATGATAAATTGGTACGGACATTTTTTAGAGCTTTGCTTCAACTTGAAATGAAGCCATCAGCCAAAAGGGAAGCTAATGGAAATCAGATTTGGACGCACACATTTATTTGTTTATTATAAATATTTATTCTAAGATATCGTCTTGTGTAACTCATGATATCATTTCCAAATAGTTTATGATTCAAGGTTTACTTGTTCAAGTTAGTATAAAGACAACATTAGAATAATAGAAAGCACATTGTGCAGAGAGGCAGCCCAGATGGGATTACTCATGGATTCATAACTATCTTCACAATCTAAGATAAAAGATCAAGCTATAAATACACAAGTTAATGGTAAATAGAGCTAAAAAAGTGAGTAAAGATGTTTTAGAAAATATTTACATGAACATTAATGCAATTAATCAAATGGAAATCTTTAGCAAAATTGTAAATCCATAAGACATTTTTATGATAGAACCATACGAATAATAAGAATACACTTTTTCTAGATACCCAAATTCACAAAACATTAAACAAAACAATAATATTATATTATATTCTCAAAGATTATAAAGTCATATTTTTGTAGGAATAAAACTAAAGAAATGTTTATCAAAACTTTAATATTCTGTGATATTATGAAGTCATACATATGTGAGATAAAACACACAAGTTAACAAAATGAAGTCAAATAAATCAGTGCGGTTATAAAGTCACAAATGTCTGGGGAAAAAACGTCTTTTTATGCTGCTGCACCGCAACCATTAAAGTACTTCTTATCTTAAAATAATTTTAAAAACAATTTTATCGGCTTCATTTGGCACATTTTTATCAAACCTCATCACAATAAATAAGCTTCTAGTAAACAGGAAGTGCCACAGACAGTGAGAAAACTCTGAAGTTGTTATTGTGTATAAAACCTCTCTCTCTCTTGTTTTTGTATATATATATATATATATACAAGTATGTTCTTGGTGACATCCTCTTTAAACCAAACTCCTGCCTCCGCTCTCCCTGCAGATACTTCCAGTGTTTCCACAAGTTCGGCCTGTTCGCTCCGATCCACAAAGTGATCCGGATCGGTTTCCCCTCCACCTCTCCAGCGAAGGCTAAGAAGAGCAAGCGGATGGCGATGGGCGTCTCCTCTCTGGCCCACAGCCCCAGCAGCTCCTCCATCAGCTCCGTCAGCTCCGTGGCCTCGTCTGTGGGCGGACGGCCCAGTCGCACCGGCCTGGTGAGATTTATTTAGTTATTTATTTGTTTATTCCACACATGGCTGGTTATCTTAAAGGTCACCTATTATTCAAAATCCACTTTTTCATGTCTTTTATACATATACTTGTGTGTAAGACGTTCTGAAAGTTTCAGGAAAATAAAAAAGTCAAATAAAAGCAATATTCTTTCAGTCACAGTCGCTTACAAATACTGAAACATAAAACCAGAACACAATCAAAAGTCAACTTCATACTGTCTAAATACGCTTTCTTTATACATTTTCTTAAATCATTCGGCAAATAATTTTGTACGCCGACTACAGAGACACACATCTGCTTTAAAGTAGTACGGGCAAACTCCTCCTATGATGCTCATCCTCTGAAATTAAGATGGAGGCAGTGAGACATCAAATACAAACTTAAAGAAGGATTGTTTTTGGGAGATTATCGTCCTCGCTTTGTTGCAGAGAGTTGGGTTTAATATTCTCATCCGACTCTTGGCAAGGAAGCAAGAAGATTAGATTAGATGACTGTATTGTCACTACACAGAGTACAGCCAAGTTCCAAGCATTCCCGATGGGGCAATCACACATAACAGACAGTATAAGTATCATTTGACAATACAAACTACAACTATTAATATAGTATAGCTAGCATACCGTTATTTATCATAATAAGGGGTGTGACGATACCCCCAAAAATCGGGATATAATAATATCATGATCAAAAAATGACTGAAGAACGTAAATCAAATGTCTGATTTTCAAAACATTTAGAAGTAAATTGGACTTCATAAATTAATGTATTTCACCCGAACCAAATTTATAATAACTAATATTCTTATAAAAAAACGTTTTTCCTTTTAAAGGTCCCATGTCATGGCCATTTCCACTGATCATAATTCCATTGTTGAGGTCTACTAGAATAGATTTATACTGTGCAATTTTCCAAACTCGACATGACATCATGATGTACCCGGAAGAATCAAATGGACAGTGACGTATCTCCAACGAGGCGTTTTGGGGAGGTATGTTCTGTGTTAGAGTTTTACTCGCTACAGGGTGTACTTTGAGGGTTTTGACTCTGCAGACCGTTTACATGCAGAAAAAGCTTCATAACACAAGGGGACGGGTAATAACCGGAAAAGCATGACATGTCACCTTTAACTTTAAGTATTTCTGCTTGAATTTTAAAGTGAACATTTGCAAAAAAAGGGGCACAAATATGTTAAGTAATATCGTCAGAGAATCACAACAACCTTTTTATTGTAATATCTTGATATCTTATACATCCCTATACATAAAGTAAATAACTTTATTTCTTTATAAGGTTCCATTTAACACCACCAAGAAGGTTCAAATACAACCAGAACATAGTTGAATGGCCATAAAGGAACATAAAAATGCTACAGAAAGTAGCTTAAATGTAGGCATTCTCTTGAAATGCAGTTTTGTTACAACAAACTCTGATAATTGTACTATTTAGTGTGTGGCTAGAACCAATGGTCTTTGTGAATCGGACTGTTTATGCAACCAGGCATGTTTGCATATACAAAAAGAGACCATTTTGAGGCAGAAGTCTTCATATATTGAAATATGTGCAAATATCACACCCTTTAAGAATCTTATTGATCTTATTCATGCAGGTTCAGTGGCTTCAGAAACTGTTCACTCCCTTCTTGATCCTGTCCTCTGTGTCCTGCAACAATCTGACATAAAGGGACATCCGGATATCTCACATTGATTTTACCTCCTAGTGGAAGGCCAGATCTCGGATGGAGAAGCCTCCCCTTTACTTTGCTTAATTGTTGGCAGCAGAGAGAGACTGCCAGTCTGAGTTATCAGCAGATCTGTGCACAAAGTATTCTGACCCACCTTCATCCTAAAGATCTTGCGTTGTTAAATGCGAAAGTCCCCGTCCTCAGTTTGTAGGAACTGACACTGATGTTAACACACAGTAGTACGGTGCAGTACGCAGGAAAGGTGCACGAGTTCATGACCTTTGCAACATGCTGTAAACATGCATTTAAAATGTAGGGTTATTCATGACATGTTCATTATTTTTTATCCACAGTATAATGAAACAACTCATGTGTCAGTGTTCTGTGTTTAAATAAAGGTTACTGAATTGAACTGATAGCACGAGAGGAATCTTTTCAAAGAGCTCTCTCTAGTGGTCAAAACAATAGTTACATCTTTTAGGACTTAATTGTGCTGAGAAATATTTATTGTTTGAAGCCTTGTGATGCCAACATTAAATAATATTCACTTAAAAAGTGTACAATGTTCTATGTTATCGTACTATGGTCAGTATAAGAAAGCCTGTTATACATAATTGTGGGTATGTTTATGTTTTATGAAAGGGAAATATATTTCCCTATGTCAGATTCACATGTCAAAGCCGTATATTTATGATAACAGTCTCACAAATACATTTTGAATATTAGATGAGATCCTAAAGTCATAAAATTGCACACAAAAAAATACATTTAAAGAAATAAACTCCTGATATTTAAAATTCACAAATTAAGACGAAAAACTTGTCGTCTCTGAGATTTACGTTGCAAATTATTGAGAATAATCTCCCAATTCTTTAATCTAGTTTTTTTTTATATTCTTCGAGAATAAGTCATACATTTGCAAAAAAAAGACAATTTAGAAATTGAGATTTAATAAACGTAAAAAACACAAATTTACAAAAAATAAACAAATGTACATTTTTTTGTATTACTGATAATGGCCCTGATACGCCGTCGTACCCTTCCTTCTGTTTCCCTTACAATCCTCCCCTTCCTCTGCTCATCCCTAATATTTGCCGCCCTCTCTCCCCTCCAGCTGACGGAGACGTCGTCCCGTTACGCCCGTAAGATCTCGGGCACCACGGCGCTGCAGGAGGCTCTGAAGGAGAAGCAGCAGCACATCGAGCAGCTGCTGGCGGAGAGAGACTCTGAGCGGGCGGAGATGGCCAAAGCCACCACCCACATCCAGGAGGTGGAGAAGGAGCTGAGCAGCTTCAAGGTGCAGCATGTCACGGTACGACACTCAGATAATAAATGTCACTTCCTGTTGGGAAAATACTGAATGTACTCTTTCAATATCAGAGTACACATGATAACAAAGGTATCCCAACTGTAGCTGAGTACATGACAGGATGTATGATTACCTAGAAGAACCGGTATTCCTCCACCTTGTGACTGTGTGACTCCCTCTCTTGGATATCAGCATGTGAAGGACACTGTTCAGGAACTAGTTGATGCTCTGTATGTGATGACTACTTCCATTCTGGAGAGGATCACAAATACATGGATCCTGAGATTGAAGCTCAAGCCGGTGACGAGGGATATTTATTATTTTTAAGTATTCAGAAAAAGTCCGAATTTTTTGTAGATTTTGAGAAAAAGTCAGATTTTTTTTAAGATTTTTAGAAAAAGTCAGAATGTTGAGAAAAAGTCAGAATTTTGAGAAAAAACTCAGTATTTTGTACATGACAAGATGTATGATTACCTAGAAGAACTGGTATTCCTCCACCTTGTGACTGTGTGACTCCCTCTCTTGGATATCAGCATGTGAAGGACACTGTTCAGGAACTAGTTGATGCTCTGTATGTGATGACTACTTCCATTCTGGAGAGGATCACAGATACATGGATCCTGAGATTGAAGCTCAAGCCGGAGACCAGTGATATTTTTCAAACACTTCCTGTTGGGCTCAGGCAGTAAATTATTCACGGATAAATCTGTCGCATGTCCCATTAACGCTCTTTACCCTCCACAGTTTGTGTCGGAGAACGATAGCGCCCTGCAGCAAATCAAAACTCTGCTGACCAGCACGCAGAAAGACAAACTGGAACTGACCAATCAGCTCGAAGAAGAGAAAAGGTGACATCACAGAGCTGTGCTGCTCTCACTCTCCTCCATGTATAGGGTTCTGTAGGGCTTTACAAACATGTATTATCAAATCATTTTGCATTAAGCAACTAAATTAAATATCTGTTAAAACTATAATCCAGTAATATATATAAATACACGGTTTTTAAATGGTCTGTTTTGCCCAATGAGACTTTCACTTTTGGTACTTTAAGTATATATCGGAATAAGAAATACTTTATTTACCATGGAGAAATTGGGTTTATTGACACTTGTTTCATTTTTAGAAATAAATCAAATTAAAATAAATAAATTAAAATATTCATATAAAAAAAGGAAGAATTTGCATTTAAAAAAAAAAGAATATTACAATAATATTAAAATATTAAATAACATAAGCAACACATTTTTTTTCAATAAAAGATCAATTAAAAATAATAAAATATTGTATGAACATAAGAAGTTGATTACCAAACTCATTAATGCTAATATCATCTTACTAAGTACAAAAAAACTGCTTTTACCTATCCTCTGTGCCACATCTCTAACAACTACTTTCTCTACAGGAAAGTGGAAGACCTCCAGTTCAGAGTAGAGGAGGAATGCATCACCAAAGGAGACCTGGAGGTATTTATCAGCAGAGTTACTACGTATAAACACTATTAACAATTGAATATATGTCCTTCTTAATGCTTAAATCCAGCATATAACCCCATGGACCCTGAGAAGGTATACAAAAGTCACGACGGACTGAAACGTCTCCGGCCTCGGTTCCTTCAGTCTGTTGTTCCTCCTTGTCTTTCTCTTTGTCTCTCTCTGTAGACTCAGAGGAAAATGGAGCGTGCCCACATTCGTCAGCTTGAGCAGAGTCTGCTCCTCGAAAAGTCGAGAGCAGAGGGGCTTCACAAAGACGTAGAGAAGAGGAGGGTAAAAGAAAAGCAACGAGCCCTCTGCCTGTAGCCCGTGTGCTTCTCATGAACTCATACTCCACCTGTCTGTGGCGTCCAAATTCACAGGAAATCAAACTAGAGATACACGAATAATCCTCTGAAATCATTAGACACACATATTGGTCAATCTGACTTTCAATCTGAGTTTACACTCGTTAAAAGATTATTACAGTTATTTTAGACGACACAATTTAGTCAAATGTACGGAATCCCGGAGAGGGAAAACGTGGTGATAAAGGTCCCCTATTATACTGTTCTTCATCAATATATCACAGGTCTCAGATATATCCAGAGCCTGTCTCTGATTGGCTGAAACACCAAACAGATCATTGCAACATTACCCATAATCCCCTCTGTTTCAGCCCTGTTTCAAAAGTGCTGATTCTCTGTCTGTTACTTTAGATGAAAATAAGGAGCCCCTCCCCACGCCCCTCTGAGAGAGATTTGGTTACAAAGAACTCAATGGTGCTCTAGGAGGAGATTCAGGTGATAAGGTGGGGGGGGGTACCTTGGTTGCTGATTGGCTAATGGTTACACAAGACAAAACATCGTTATGACATCACACAGTGGCCAAAATCTGATCAGCTCATTTTCAGACAGGTTTTTATAGAAATGGATCAAAAAGAGAGAGAATCTTTGTTCCTGAAACTTTCAGAGTCTTTACACAGAGGGGACACATGTTGATGTAGAAGAGACATGAAGAAGAGGGGACACATGTTGATGTAGAAGAGACATGAAGAAGAGGGGACACATGTTGATGTAGAAGGGACATGAAGAAGAGGGGACACATGTTGATGTAAAAGAGACATGAAGAAGAGGGGACACATGTTGATGTGGAAGAGACATGAAGAAGAGGGGACACGTGTTGATGTAAAAGAGACATGAAGAAGAGGGGACACATGTTGATGTAGAGGAGACATGAAGAAGAGGGGACACATGTTGATGTAGAGGAGACATGAAGAAGAGGGGACACATGTTGATGTAGAAGAGACATGAAGAAGAGGGGACACGTGTTGATGTAAAAGAGACATGAAGAAGAGGGGACACATGTTGATGTAGAGGAGACATGAAGAAGAGGGGACACATGTTGATGTAGAAGGGACATGAAGAAGAGGGGACACATGTTGATGTAAAAGAGACATGAAGAAGAGGGGACACATGTTGATGTGGAAGAGACATGAAGAAGAGGGGACACGTGTTGATGTAAAAGAGACATGAAGAAGAGGGGACACATGTTGATGTAGAGGAGACATGAAGAAGAGGGGACACATGTTGATGTAGAGGAGACATGAAGAAGAGGGGACACATGTTGATGTAGAAGAGACATGAAGAAGAGGGGACACGTGTTGATGTAAAAGAGACATGAAGAAGAGGGGACACATGTTGATGTAGAGGAGACATGAAGAAGAGGGGACACATGTTGATGTAGAGGAGACATGAAGAAGAGGGGACACATGTTGATGTAGAAGAGACATGAAGAAGAGGGGACACATGTTGATGTAGAAGAGACATGAAGAAGAGGGGACACGTGTTGATGTAAAAGAGACATGAAGAAGAGGGGACACATGTTGATGTAGAGGAGACATGAAGAAGAGGGGACACATGTTGATGTAGAAGAGACATGAAGAAGAGGGGACACGTGTTGATGTAAAAGAGACATGAAGAAGAGGGGACACATGTTGATGTAGAGGAGACATGAAGAAGAGGGGACACATGTTGATGTAGAGGAGACATGAAGAAGAGGGGACACATGTTGATGTAGAAGGGACATGAAGAAGAGGGGACACGTGTTGATGTAAAAGAGACATGAAGAAGAGGGGACACATGTTGATGTAGAAGAGACATGGAGAAGAGGGGACACGTGTTGATGTAAAAGAGACATGAAGAAGAGGGGACACATGTTGATGTAGAGGAGACATGAAGAAGAGGGGACACATGTTGATGTAGAGGAGACATGAAGAAGAGGGGACACATGTTGATGTTGAAGAGACATGAAGAAGAGGGGACACGTGTTGATGTAGAGGAGACATGAAGAAGAGGGGACACATGTTGATGTAGAGGAGACATGAAGAAGAGGGGACACATGTTGATGTAGAAGAGACATGAAGAAGAGGGGACACGTGTTGATGTAAAAGAGACATGAAGAAGAGGGGACACATGTTGATGTAGAGGAGACATGAAGAAGAGGGGACACATGTTGATGTAGAGGAGACATGAAGAAGAGGGGACACATGTTGATGTAGAAGAGACATGAAGAAGAGGGGACACATGTTGATGTAGAAGAGACATGAAGAAGAGGGGACACGTGTTGATGTAAAAGAGACATGAAGAAGAGGGGACACATGTTGATGTAGAGGAGACATGAAGAAGAGGGGACACATGTTGATGTAGAAGAGACATGAAGAAGAGGGGACACGTGTTGATGTAAAAGAGACATGAAGAAGAGGGGACACATGTTGATGTAGAGGAGACATGAAGAAGAGGGGACACATGTTGATGTAGAGGAGACATGAAGAAGAGGGGACACATGTTGATGTAGAAGGGACATGAAGAAGAGGGGACACGTGTTGATGTAAAAGAGACATGAAGAAGAGGGGACACATGTTGATGTAGAAGAGACATGGAGAAGAGGGGACACGTGTTGATGTAAAAGAGACATGAAGAAGAGGGGACACATGTTGATGTAGAGGAGACATGAAGAAGAGGGGACACATGTTGATGTAGAGGAGACATGAAGAAGAGGGGACACATGTTGATGTAGAAGGGACATGAAGAAGAGGGGACACGTGTTGATGTAAAAGAGACATGAAGAAGAGGGGACACATGTTGATGAAGAAGAGACATGAAGAAGAGGGGACACATGTTGATGTAGAAGAGACATGAAGAAGAGGGGACACATGTTGATGTAGAAGAGACATGAAGAAGAGGGGACACATGTTGATGTAGAAGAGACATGAAGAAGAGGGGACACATGTTGATGTAGAAGAGACATGAAGAAGAGGGGACACATGTTGATGTAGAAGAGACATGAAGAAGAGGGGACACGTGTTGATGTAGAAGAGACATGAAGAAGAGGGGACACGTGTTGATGTAGAAGAGACATTAAGAAGAGGGGACACATGTTGATGTAGAGGAGACATGAAGAAGAGGGGACACATGTTGATGTAGGAGAGACATGAAGAAGAGGGGACACATGTTGATGTAGAAGAGACATGAAGAAGAGGGGACACATGTTGATGTAGAAGAGACATGAAGAAGAGGGGACACATGTTGATGTAGGAGAGACATGAAGAAGAGGGGACACATGTTGATGTAGAGGAGACATGAAGAAGAGGGGACACATGTTGATGTAGAAGAGACATGAAGAAGAGGGGACACATGTTGATGTAGAAGAGACATGAAGAAGAGGGGACACGTGTTGATGTAAAAGAGACATGAAGAAGAGGGGACACATGTTGATGTAGAGGAGACATGAAGAAGAGGGGACACATGTTGATGTAGAAGAGACATGAAGAAGAGGGGACACGTGTTGATGTAAAAGAGACATGAAGAAGAGGGGACACATGTTGATGTAGAGGAGACATGAAGAAGAGGGGACACATGTTGATGTAGAGGAGACATGAAGAAGAGGGGACACATGTTGATGTAGAAGGGACATGAAGAAGAGGGGACACGTGTTGATGTAAAAGAGACATGAAGAAGAGGGGACACATGTTGATTGTAGAAGAGACATGGAGAAGAGGGGACACATGTTGATGTAGAAGAGACATGAAGAAGAGGGGACACATGTTTGATGTAAAAGAGACATGAAGAAGAGGGGACACATGTTGATGTAGAGGAGACATGAAGAAGAGGGGACACATGTTGATGTAGAGGAGACATGAGAAGAGGGGACACATGTTGATGTAGAGGAGACATGAAGAAGAGGGGACACATGTTGATGTAGAAGGGACATGAAGAAGAGGGGACACGTGTTGATGTAAAAGAGACATGAAGAAGAGGGGACACATGTTGATGAAGAAGAGACATGAAGAAGAGGGGACACATGTTGATGTAGAAGAGACATGAAGAAGAGGGGACACATGTTGATGTAGAAGAGACATGAAGAAGAGGGGACACATGTTGATGTAGAAGAGACATGAAGAAGAGGGGACACATGTTTGATGTAGAAGAGACATGAAGAAGAGGGGACACATGTTGATGTAGAAGAGACATGAAGAAGAGGGGACACGTGTTGATGTAGAAGAGACATGAAGAAGAGGGGACACGTGTTTGATGTAGAAGAGACATGAAGAAGAGGGGACACGTGTTGATGTAGAAGAGACATGAAGAAGAGGGGACACATGTTGATGTAGAAGAGACATGAAGAAGAGGGGACACGTGTTGATGTAGAAGAGATATGAAGAAGAGGGGACACGTGTTGATGTAGAAGAGATATGAAGAAGAGGGGACACATGTTGATGTAGAAGAGACAGGAAGAAGAGGGGACACATGTTGATTTAGAAGAGACATGAAGAAGAGGGGACACATGTTGATGTAGAAGAGACATGAAGAAGAGGGGACATGTGTTGATGTAGAAGAGACATGAAGAAGAGGGGACACATGTTGATGTAGAAGAGACATGAAGAAGAGGGGACACATGTTGATTTAGAAGAGACATGAAGAAGAGGGGACACATGTTGATGTAGAAGAGACATGAAGAAGAGGGGACACATGTTGATGTAGAAGAGACATGAAGAAGAAGGGACACATGTTGATGTAGAAGAGACATGAAGAAGAGGGGACACATGTTGATGTAGAAGAGACATTAAGAAGAGGGGACACATGTTGATGTAGAAGAGACATGAAGAAGAGGGGACACATGTTGATGTAGAAGAGACATGAAGAAGAGGGGACACATGTTGATGTAGAAGAGACATGAAGAAGAGGGGACACATGTTGATGTAGGAGAGACATGAAGAAGTTCATTCTGCATAATAGGTCACCTTTAAATCTGGTCTAAATGATTGTTCTACTAAAGTAATATATTTGAGTGTGTTAGCACACGCAGCCTCTTGTGGCCAAAATGAGTATTACAACAACAATGAAAGAAAATGCAATATTTGTTTATATGACAAAACATTTTTTGCCCAACTTTTCATTTTCAGAATCAGGTTTATTGGCCTGTAGCTTCACATAAAGACATTATTTGGGGTAAAATGGTTATAGCATTAACATTAACACAGTAAAAGGAATGAAGTTGTAAAAATGTACAATACAATTATGATACGTTACTCCAAAGAAGATGCTGGTACATCAGAATTTAAATTGAAAGGGCTGTGAAGTTTTATAAGAGGTGGCGTTGTGCAGAGACGTGCAAAATATACAAGAACTCATAAACACAGGAAAGAAAACAATTGATATCAAAAATGCATCGCCTGCTTTTTTCTCACTTGCCTCTCAGCACTTTCTTAAGAATCTGCTGGAATAAGAAAAATACCATACGTCCCCCCCTCATCTTTAAGTAAAGGTCTGATTTAGACTCGTCGATTTTTCTTATAGAAAGTTATGAAACATAGTGAGAAAAAAGCCTTCATCTGTCTCCTCCTCCTTCATCATCATCACATCATGGCTCCAGTGATGCTCCTCATGTCTGACGCAGAGCTTCAGCCTCATGTCTTCTGTTGCTGCTTTGAATTATGATTTATCATCTTTTATTCAAAGCTTGTCCATCAGATGAGTCGCCAGCTGGCTTTGTAGATGCCAGGATGTTACGTGTACAACATCCTTTCACCTCAGTGACACATGAGAGATCGCTGAATTGTTAATGTGATCCATCCCTGATGTAAGACACGTTTGGCTCCAGGTAGCATCAGTGAAGCACCGCTTCGACGCGCAGCCTCTTCAATAATTGACAGCAGGAGCACAAATCAAACCGTACGAGCTTTCAATTGACATCAAAAGGTAACACAAAGGCTTTGACTCGCATGCAGTAAATCTGCTTCTGCCAACAGGGGAGAGGCTCTCATGATGCAGCATCCTTGAGGTTGGGTAAGAGAACCAAGGTGAACAAAAAAAAAGATCTTGTTTTTGGCTTTTGATCTCAATTCTCCACTTCAGAGGCTGTCAGGGACGAGGATCCTGCACAGACTCTTTTTACTTCTCCTGTGTGCTGTGCCTCACTCTGAATGCTGTGCAGGACACTTCTGGTCATAGGGATGCACTAGTAACTCTGGGGTCTGGTAGTTGGTTTGCCAGGTTGAAGTTAACACTTTAAATCGTCTTTCTTACCTCCTTTTGATGTTATTTAGGCTTCATTGTGTTTCTTTGTATTTGCTTGGCTGCTTGCGTCTGATCAGAGAATGGCTCTCCTCTCATCTGCTGTGCGCTCACATCTTTGGACAGTGACACGGTGACCCTTATGCTCCTTAGTTGTATGTCTTTGGATGAAACAGATACAATGAATGACGAGCTGCAGCAGCATGATACACAAATGTAGTGTTTGTTTTCATCTGTTGGTAAATTGTAATCATTATTATTGCCAGAACTTTGATGGTACTCCTCTCAACAAGCTTGTTCCTCTGGCCAGATTATTCACAGAAATGTAAAATATTTATCAGATAAAAGGAAAATGTGTTAAAATGTCCATAACTCAACGTTCTTCAAAATGATTTACTGTCAAATTAACTGACTTATTAACTTAATTTATTTACTAAACGAACTTGGCACAATGATATACAGTAGGTCTGTATTATACGACAGGTAAATCAGATTGCATTTGATAACTGTAACTGCATTTAAGTTGTTAATGCTTCGAGTTAAATGTAAAACAAAAGACAAACACACACTCCTACGCTCCTTCGAGGCACCGAATAAAAAAAGCAAATGTAAGCACTTTTAATCTGAATTGAACATTTAGGGATCAGAATCATCATTTCTGGGTGACTCTATGATCCTCTTCAGCTGGTGAATTGTTTGTCACATCTGCAAAAACATTTCCCTTCTGAATCAATTCATTTACAATTTAAATAGTTTAAAATGTGCGTTTGAATTCCACCTTTTTACCGAGTATCAAGAAATCAGTCCAATGTATTTTTGCTAATCCTACTTACTAACTGACAAACCTAACCTCCTCAAGGTGCTGAATATTAAATGAACATTCATCAGGTGTTCAATTACTCCAAATGACTACTAGTGGCGGAAAAATGTCCCCCAAAGATCTAATAATGAGGCTTTACCCCATAAGGACCCACCATGACACGGGTGTCACATGAACTTTAAATGTTCTGGAAGGTTCCTTATACAGCTTTAGCCTTGTTTTTATCTCATGAAGTCCCTAAGTGACACACACTGAACAGTGGTGGGACATGGGCCAGGTCATGTGATTTAGTGTTCCCATGACAACATGTCCAAGATGTCCATGTGCCAGGCTAACACATGTGACATAACGAGCTACATTTCAAAAGCTTTTTTTGTTTGTTGCTAAAGGTGAAATTCAAGCTATTTTAAGAATTAAAATGCTTACATAACATGTCCTTTATTACATTGAACCTGTTGTGGAAACATTTCTTGATCAAATTGATATGAAACAAATGAGACAAACATTGCTGTGACACTGATCGGGACTTTAACCCTAAGCTTTCACAGTAAACCCAAAGTGACATAGAAATATGATTATGATCTGCTCAGTTAATTTAGCTGATTCAATTATATTGAGTTAATGTTCTTATTCTTCAATTCAAAGAATGTTCAAACTAATTTAAACCAAAAAATTATCCTCATTAATTAAGTTATAAATAAGAGTTATTTTACCATTAAAGCCCATCAATGGGACATATATGTCACATTTCAGATATTTGACACTAGGGGGGGTTCTTGTCAGAAATGTGGTCTAAATTATGTTCCCCTTAATTTTCTCAAAAGTAGGGTCCGGGTTCTTATGGTACTCGAAGTGCCTAAATGTGTTTTGTCAGTATTTGACTTTGCAGTTCTTGCTTTGATCTCTAACGCAGTTTTAGATCCTTGCCGTATATTCATAGTGAACGATAGATCATGTGAAGTGTCAGTGGGTGTAGCCTCCGTTACATTCGAGTGGAAAATCCTCTTTTATTAAACCGCTGTCAGCTCTAATACTCTCTGCAGATACTTCTTTGTTTCGGCCAGCCTGTCCGAAACAATCTGTATCTCGGCCGCCTAAAATCGTTATCGTTAAATCTTACTTCTTTAATCCATACTGAAACAGAAAGGATGTCCCATTAATATTACAATCTCATGCTCTAAGTAGGACATGAATACATACTGAGTAATTCTTTGTATCATCTTTTGTCTAAGAAGTCGTCCAGCAGGGAGTTTTAACGTTTCACTTTGTCACTGTCCACACGCTGAATGTCTCGTATGCTTTTAACTGTTTCCAGTCTTTACAAAGATCTTCGGGGTTTCCCTTTCATTTCCTTATTGCTGACTCACTTATTCTTTAGCAGAGGTGGAAGAAGTATTCAGATGCTATACTTGAGTAAAAGTACTAATACATTATTGTCAAAATACTTCATTACAAATCCTGCATTGTTAATCTTACTCAAGTAAAAGTACAAAAGTATTATCAAAGTAAAAGTACAGGAAAAGCACACTACCCACTGAGCCACAGCCTCCCTATATATTCATTATTATACATGTGATATTTCTAGATAATGTGATAAGCAAAGCTCTGATGGACTTTCTGTCAAATATTTAAGCAATTTTACTCTTTTTTTGACTTAAAAAGTTAGTCCACTAGTTGAATTGTTAGAGATGCATTTTGTTAACAGTAGCTAAAGCTGTTAATAAATGTAGTGGAGTAAAATTAAATTATCTCCCTTTTAGAAGTATAAAATAGCATAAATTGACTTTTATTATTCTACTAACACGATATTAATACAGACAATTGATGAAAAAAAACATTCAAACTCAATTAGTAGAAGCTGGAGGGCATAAAAGTATAGCTGATAAAGAAAATAGACGTCACGTTAGTCACGTAAAGTACCTCAAAATTGTATTTAAGTCCAGTACTTGAGCAAATGTACTCAGTTACTTCCCACCTCTGTTCTTTGGAATGACGTCGTTCAGCTTCAGGGTGTTTCTTAGTCGTTCTTTCGAAGCAACCATCAGATTTATTTTCAGCGACAGTGACCATGTTATTTTTTTCTCGTCAGCAAACCACGGTTGAGGAGCAGAGTCGCATCGTGCAGCTGGAGGAGGAGCTGAGCCTCCGGAGGGCGGAGATGGAGAACCTGCAGGTGAAGCTCCGAGGGTCCGACTCCCAGCAGGAGGACGGTGACGAGGCCCCGGGGTCCGAGCCCGAGACCCTCATCCTGCGAGTACAGCTGGCCTCTGCGGGCCGCGAGCACAACAAGGAGAGCAGCGAGCTGAGGGAGAAGCACGAGGCGGAGCTAGAGGAGAGGCGGCAGGAGGTCGCTGAGCTGAGGGCCGAGCTGGAGAACAAGAGCCGGGAGCTGAGCGAGGTGAAGCTGAAGGTCCAGGACGCAAACAGGGAGAACGTGCAGATGATGGACACCTGGAAGGTATCTGTCCAACGCAAACTGATCAGAGAGCTGTGGGAATCAGTCAGTCAGGATAGGATAGGATTTCATTCTGGAGAAGACAAGGGATATTCAGGAAAAAAGTTAAAGGCAAAAATATGAGACGCATAGAGAGCTGGGAAACCTGAAGATCAGCAAAAAAATGAATTGTGAAAATGCATCAGGGCTTAGAACTTTCATTACCATGCTCTATCACAGTAAGTCTCATACGTTGGACACCTGGAAGGTTTTCTGTTCAACGCAAACTGATCAGAGAGCTGTGGGAATGTGGGAATGGATTTTATGCTGAAGAAGACAATCTCAATCTTTATTTATATGATATCACCGAAGACCACCACACAGCGCCACAGGAGGTCTTTCCTCCCAGTGGCAATCAAACTCTTTAACTCTTCACCCCTAAGTAAAGGGCACTGAGAACTTCCACACCAACACTATGTGCAATATACATATCAATATAATTACCATCATTACAATACACTCGCTGCTATATAACTATGTGCAATATTATTATTAGTATTATTAATAATGCTACGATAACGTGCAATTACGTAACTGCCACTACGTTTTATTTTTTGCACTACTAACTACTAAATACTGCTAATAATTGCATTGATTGTGTGACCATCTATGTTTCTATGTTTCATGTTGTCTGTAGATGTTTAATTGCTCTTTTTGCTGCACTTTTAGTGTACAGTTTTATTGTGTTTATTGTATTTTGTAACTCTGGCACAACAATTTCCTTCGGGATAAATAAAGTCTTATATTATCTTATTTATTTATATGCATATTTTAAACAACCTCAGTTGACCAAAGTGCTGTACAGGGAACAAATACAATATAGAATAACACAATAGGAGTACAATAATACAACAATAATTAAACAATTAATTTAATTAATTAAATTAAATTAAACAATAACTACAAACAAATAAAAACATATAGAAAGATGGGATTTTCAGGGTTAAATAAATAATAAAACACATTAGACAAATGGAAAGCTAGGAACCTGAAGATCTTTCATTACCATGCTCTATTAAAGTAAGTCTCATACGTTGTTGCAGCAAGGGAGAGGGAGAAATAACACCATTTGTTACATTGATATGAAATCAAAAACAAATTTAAACATTTTTAACAACAAAAAAAGCCTCCAAAATATAATTTAAAGACAATATGATACGATAATACTTTAATGGTCAGATCAAGTCTGAAATGTGACTTGCATCACAGCAGCTCCATGTGTAACATCAACAGACAAATATCAAGACACAATACATGACAAACAAACATTTAACATGACATCACAATCACTGAGAGAAAACCTGCTCAAAGCGCCTTCAGTGTGCATTTGATCTGGGTTCAGCTCTGTAAGATCTTGAGGAGCTCCGTATCTAATATTTCCCCTTCCTTCCCTCTGCAGGATAAATTTGACTCCTTGGTGGTCCAGCACCAGCGTTCCCTGGAGGACCTGAAGGCCTCTCTGTCCGGGGATCACCCCGCGGCAGGAGGCCCCGAGCAGGCCTCTCTGGAGAGCCTGAAGACGGAGCACCAGCTGGAGGTGGAGAACCTGAAGGCCAAACACAAGATCGAAGCAGCCATCCTCACCAAGGAGCGCGAAGACTTCTGCACCCGCCTGGCGGAGGCCAAAGAGCAGCTGGACAAGGGGAGCCAGAGCTGGAGGAGCGAGGCGGAGGCCAAGAGCAGCAGGAAGGCCCTGGAGGAGGCCGGAGAGAAGCTGCAGAGGGCGGAGCGACGGCTGGCCGAGGTGGAGAAGATCCACATGGAGAAGGACAGGAACTCAGAGGAGCTGAGAGAGAGGCTGGAGCTGTCGGAGAAGAAGATGAGCGACTACCAGGCGCTGCAGAACGCCCAGGCCGAGAGCCAGCAGGAGATCCAGAAGCTGGAGGAGCAGCTGAGGGTGACGGCCAATCAGCTGCAGGCAACGCAGGCCGACCGCTACACCTCCAACGATGCTAACGTGAGTCTCACAGGAGATAAGAGGAGATTTCTTTGGACTATCTGTGTTGTGAATGTATTATTTTTTCTACATGTGTCCGTACTGGAAGAGAGATCCTCCTCTCTTGCTCTCCCAGAGGTTTCTTCAGTTTTTCCCCCATTAACTTTGGGGTTTCTTTTGCAGTTTTTCCTTGTCCGTTGTGAAGATGTAAAGACAGAGGTCGTCGTAATCATATTCATATTCTGTATAAACTGTAAAGCCCACTGAGACTAATGTAAAACTTGTGATATGAAGCTGTATAAATACACTTTGATTGATTGATGAGATAACTAAGTGTTGATATGCTGTCACTGCTTTGGTTTAAGCTTTAATACTTAATCCTTTTTCAGGTGATAGAGGACAACGACATTACAGAAGAAAAGATGAAGCTAAAACAGAATGTCGAAGGTATCAACGTCCATTTATTATCATCAAAACATATGCATATACTTTAGTTTGTATTTTACAAATATTAATGTATATTCTGCTCCATGCCAATCATTTCTCGAGTTATAGAAACAAATATTTAAAACAGTTATTGAAGTTATAATGAAACCCCTTTACTGTTCAGAATACATGTTCTATTAGTTTATACAAATACTGAGCAATTCTTATTTCTGCCACTTACTTTATTTTCTCACCATCAATTCTAGCATTTAAAATAAAGATAATAAGAGTTCATACTGGCTGAAATCGCCATAACAAAATATGGCTCCCTTGACATAAAGGAGATCTGTCCACCAAGTATTCAGTATTATAAGATTTTCAGAAATCCTAATGTAACTTTGGAGACAATAGGCGCTTTCACACCGGAGTACTTTTCTCACTTTAGTTCCGATAGTTCTTGAAAACGTTGCGTACTTCACACCAAAAAAATCCGGAACTAGAACTTAGTTCATGAGAACCTTTTTACCCCCTTTTCAGTCCCTGCCAGAGAGCAGGGACTGAAAAGGTCCATTAGCATTATTAGCATTAGCCCAGCGCACAAACGCAGAGAGACTAACTTATGGCAACACAAAAGAAAACATGGGAGCGGTGGAGATGAGGAGGTGTCGGCGTTCTGGCGATTTACTCGGAAGGCTTCAGTAGAAGCTGCTGGGAGTCCCAGCAGCTTCTACTGAAGCCAGTCCCCAACTCCGGGGACTTCCGGCCGGGGACTTCCGGCCGGGGACTTCCGGCCGGGGACTTCGCGTGGCAGTATACGCCGTGAAGTGGTTTGCGGCCTGCCAGTAAACCCAAAACGGAAGAAGAAGAAGTGACGTCAGCGGCTTCATTTGCCTAATCCTCCCTCAGGGACTTATTCCGGTGTGAACATGATCTGTACTTAGTTCATGAGAACTAAAGAGTTCTCATGAACTAAGTACTGGGAACTAAGTACTGCAAAGTACTTGGTGTGAAAGCGGCTAATAAGTAACTTAAAGCCTCTTATGGACTGCGTTGATTTGCCTTAGAGCTTGTGTCAGTCACTAATTGTGGTTTCTTGAACATTGCATCCTCAAAACACACTGACTGTTGTTTTGTGTATCTTCAGAAACGATGGAGAAGTTGATGAAGAGGGAGAAAGAGGTGACGACCCTCACTTCCCAGGTGGAAGGCCTCAAATCCCAGATCGGAGGTAAATGTCATTTTCCAAAGAAGAAAGAAAGAAATCTGTCAATACTGTAACCTCTATAGAGAGCTCCTTTATTTTCACACACAATAGCATTGATTTTACAAACAGGAAAAGATAGTTGTACAATAGCTGCCCACTACTCCTAGACTCCTGGTGCTGGTACTAGACTCCTGGTACTAGACTCCTGGTACTAGACTCCTGGTGCTAGACTCAGGAGTCTGGTACTAGACTCCTGGTACTAGACTCCTGGTACTAGTCTCAGGAGTCTGGTACTAGACTCTTGGTACTAGACTCCTGGTGCTAGACTCAGGAGTCTGGTACTAGACTCCTGGTGCTAGACTCAGGAGTCTGGTACTAGACTCCTGGTACTAGACTCCTGGTGCTAGACTCAGGAGTCTGGTGCTAGACTCCTGGTGCTAGACTCAGGAGTCTAGTACTAGACTCCTGGTACTAGACTCCTGGTGCTAGACTCCTGGTGCTAGACTCCTGGTACTAGACTCCTGGTACTAGACTCCTGGTGCTAGACTCAGGAGTCTGGTACTAGACTCCTGGTGCTAGACTCCTGGTACTAGACTCCTGGTACTAGACTCCTGGTACTAGTCTCAGGAGTCTGGTACTAGACTCCTGGTACTAAACTCCTGGTGCTAGACTCAGGAGTCTGGTACTAGACTCCTGGTGCTAGACTCCTGGTACTAGACTCCTGGTACTAGACTCCTGGTACTAGTCTCAGGAGTCTGGTACTAGACTCCTGGTACTAAACTCCTGGTACTAGACTCCTGGTACTAGTCTCAGGAGTCTGGTACTAGACTCCTGGTGCTAGACTCCTAGTTCTAGACTCCTGGTACTAGGATGGGTTAAAAGCAGAGAACACATGTCACTGTGTGTGCTGTGTGCTCTGCATGTGTGACCATTAAAGAGGGTTTCCCTATGATTCTATCTCTGTGGTTGGGTTGTGTGTCTGTGTTCGTTTAGAGTGTTTTGCTCCTTTTGTGTGTGCTTGTTTTTCTCTTTTGGTCGTCTTTTTGGGTGTCTTTGAAGTTGTTTTTGTGTCCTTTTGTGAGTCTATTTCCAGCTGTGTTTTGTTTGTAGCCTTTTGATGTTTCTTTTTGTGTCATTTAGCATCTCTTCATGGTTGGTACATGTCTTTTTTTGTTCCGTTCAGTAATCCTTCAATGCCTGCAGGGGAATTGCAGTGTTTTGCCATAAATGACGCTATTGGTTGAATCATCTCCTGGCCGTCAGTCAAATTGACTTTTGTTTTGGAGGAAATCTGACATATTTCTCATTTTGTAAACTCGTTAACTGAGTCATAGATAAAGAGCATTTTAAGTGTTTTAAGTGTCACATCATTGTAGTTCTCTGTGCTGTGCCCTGTGTGTTATTGACTGCAGGCTTCACTTCATTTTGTGTTCATCTTCACTGTTTCATTCTTTGATCAGCGCTGAGAAATCTGTCAAAGGCGGTCTTTGAAAACTCCCATCACTTCAAAGGGACCCAAAACACTACTTCATGTAGCTCGGATAATCACATTGACACACTTTGAAGAACAGACAGTGAATATTTTAACAGCAATAAAGAGACACAAAGCGGAGGATTATTCAGTTATGGGTCACAAAGTGTACAGTGAAGTCGGTCTTTTTATCTTTGTGTTTGAAGGAATAGAAGTAGAGGAATACCAGCACAATATTAAAAAAAGAAATAACACAAATACAGTCGTAATTTTAGGCGCTTTCACACCGCAGTACTTTTCCCACAAAGGTTCATCAGAACTTAGTTCATGAGAACTCTTTAGTTCTCATGAACTAAGTACAGATCGCATTCACACCGGAACTTCACGGCGTATACTGCCACCCGAAGTCCCCGGCCGGAAGTCCCCGGAGTTGGGGACTGGCTTCAGTAGAAGCTGCTGGGACTCCCAGCAGCTTCTACTGAAGCCTTCCGAGTAAATCGCCAGAACGCCAGAACGCCGACACCTCCTCATCTCCACCGCCCCCGTGTTTTCTTTTGTGTTGCCATAAGTTAGTCTCTCTCCGTTTGTGCGCTGGGCTAATGCTAATAATGCTAATGCGAGGAAAATAAAATGGCGGCTTCACAAAACTTTTTTGGGAGTTTTTTTCTAAAGTGGGAAAAGTACTGCAGTGTGAACGCGCCTAAAGTGGGAGATCATACTACCTGAAGCCTTATTACTTTAGGTAACATATATTTTTGCACAGAAAGATGACTTCACATGCATTGTTGCTGTTATACATTTTGTTCCTAATTTGGCTTTAATAAAGTCAATCTTATCTCATCTAATATCATGTAATATAACAAACATTACGTCATGAAATATGACATAATATTGTTTTAACAATTTATACAAGGTGTTTAAATGAATTTCTAAATAACATTATCATAAATAATGCTGAATATATTGAAAATAAAACCCTCTCTCTTTTCCTCCGTACCCAAATCTCTAAAAACGGGGAGCTGATCCAGATTTGCGTCCGATATGACGTAATATTGCAAATCTGGATCAGCTCCGTCTAAAATGCATGATCTGTTTGGTATTTTGAGCAAAACACATCATATATATATTTTGATATATTTGCATATATCTGAGAGCCAAAATATATGCCTAAAAATAGCATGATAGGAGACCTTTAAATTCAAATGTTCTCCTCCTTCTTATTTCCCTTCCTTCAGCTCTGGAGGGGAAGGTGCGCTCCGGAGAGAAGAAAGCCGAGGCTCTGGCGAGGGAGAATGTGCGCGTGGAGTCGGAGCTGGAGTCCATGACCAAGAAGTCCCATGATGCATCTGGGCAGCTGGTCAATATCAGCCAGGAGCTGCTGAAGAAAGAGAGGTACGCAGACAGCGCTGCATTGATTTTACAATCTGCCTCAGCACTTACTGCCAGAGAGAAAGGATCCTCGCAGACATGACGCACTGAAGTACAACATGTTATTAATTTGATAATGGACGGATACTTGGAGCCCACAGGCCATGTATTGATTTGAATCCACATATCTTCAGCTATATTTGTATCACGCTATTTCATTTTGTAATGTTTCATCTGGATACTGCCAATGTTGCAGTTATAACAGCGCCCTGCGGAGCGATCAGGCCCCGCTCTGTTGTTTTATTTCCTTTAGATTGTTCTTTTAAAAGTATCAGCCTTTGTTGTCGGCTTTCTGTCTTTTGTTGTTGTTGTTTTTATGCTTTTCCTCTATTGGGAATGAGGTTAACGCAGCAATTCACACAGTCATATTATGTTATATAAGTTTACAGAAAGATACATCCTTTCTGATGTTCCAATATAATTCGCACTCGCGCTTCTATTGGCTAGCGCTCCAACACATTGTATGTGATAGGCTAAGGGGCGGGACATCTCTTAAGTGGTTGACCAATCACAACAGAGTCGGCCAGCTAACCAATCAGAGCAGACTGGGCTCTGGTTTCAGACAGAGGGTGAAAAGAGGTGCTTGGGTGGCAAATAAGCATTTGTTTTGCATGTGTGGAGGTTGAATGTAAAAGCCAAATTAAAAGTAATTTATGTTCCTAATAGGGTCACTAATTCTGTATGAATCTTACACCAGGGGTTAAATACAATTTCAATTTCCAGCACGGATATTAATGAGGAAGCAGGGAGAAAAAGACTTTCCTTTATAACTTAAAAACACAAGGGAAATGCGTTCTGTGTTCAAGCTTTGCATTAAAACAAAACATAATAAAATGTTCTGTAAAAAAATAATAGTAAGCAATTAAATGTAGGAATATATTAAGCAATATTAGGCTTCTAGTTTAACGCCAGAAGCTTATAATGAATATTCTGCTTCCACTGTTCATGTGGGATTACTTATTAATAGCACCTCTAAGGGCCCTTAACAGCCTTATAATATAATACTAAAGTCATATTAGAAAAACATATTGAAACACCCTGGGCTATAATGTAGGCCTTAATGATAGGATGAATTAAAACTAAGTAAAAAAAATAATACTAAAACTCATTAGTTACTTCAGGAGTTTCTTATTGAACCTATCATATCAATGTTAGAAAATTCCATACAATAATTTAAAACTTTTTTATTGAGACTTGATTCAAAATTGCCGTATGTAGTCATACTAGAAATTGAATGGTAACTCCCTGCCATTAGTGTCCTGGTGAATTGTTTACCCAAGCGTTGTCTCTGCATCTGAAAAGTCAAGAGCCGCTTTCACACCAAGTACTTTGCCGTACTTAGTTCCCAGCACTTAGTACCCCCATGGAACTAAAGAGCTGATCGCGTTCACACCGGAATAAGTCCCTGAGGGAAGATTACGCAAATGAAGCCGCTGACGTCACTTCTTCTTCTTCTGCTTTGGGTTTACTGGCAGGCCGCAAACCACTTCACGGCGTATACTGCCACCCAAACTCCCCGGCCGGAAGTCCCCGGAGTTGGGGACTGGCTTCAGTAGAAGCTGCTGGGACTCCCAGCAGCTTCTACTGAAGCCTTCCGAGTAAATCGCCAGAACGCCGACACCTCCTCATCTCCACCGCTCCCATGTTTTCTTTTGTGTTGCCATAAGTTATTCTCTCTCCGTTGGTGCGCGGGGATAATGCTAATAATGCTAATGCCAGCAAATAAAATGGCGGCTTCACAAAACTTTGCAGAGTTTTACGGGGCGTGGTTTGCAATTCGCGCAGCCAATCGAAATTGGAACTTTTTTCTCCCCAGGAAATTACCTGCTCTCTAGCAGGGACTGAAAAGGGGGGAAAAGTTCTCTTGAACTAAGTTCTCTTTTTGGTGTGAACGCAAAATTCCAGGAACTATCGGAACTAAAAGGGAAAAGACCCTACTTCTCACACGAATTATAACCTCAGTAAACATTTTTCGGAAGAGTTTATAGTCTCCATCTATAGTTTAAAGTCTTATTCAATTCAGAAGGATGTTCATTTCTTAAATTGAGATCACATTTACAGTGAAAAAGACGAATAAAACAGGGATGCTTTTGGTCCGAGAAGGTGACAGACAAAATGTCGAAGTTGAGCACACACCAATTGGAGACGTCACAGTGACTACGTCCATTTTTTTTAAGGTCCTCAATCTACCCACATGAGAAACTATAATAACTTTTACTTGTAGGTTTGTTTACTTGCTTTAAAGAGTTACATTATAGTGAAATCATGTTTCAAATCAGTGTTAATGTTTTGTTTTTGTTGAAACTAAAACACTTCGTAGAGTTGAAGCGATACTAAGATAAATGATCATTCTTTGGGTGTTCGTCACAACAAGAAAGCCCTTTCACATTATACATATTTGATACTGTACATAGATATTTATGATCAGTGCAGCTTAGATACTGTATAATCCTCATATTTCTGTCAGCAGCTGCAGGTCATTATCGCCTAGTTGTGGATACAGAACATTTAACAGACAAAGTTCTGTTAAAGGTCCCATGTCATGCTTTTCTGACCCGTCCCCTTGTGTGTTATGTAGCGTTTTAAGCATGTAAACGGTCTGCAGAGTCACAAACCCTCAAAGTGCACCCGGTAGAGAGTAAAACTCTAACACAGAAAATACCTGAACGCCTCGTTGGAGATTTCTCTTCTTCCATTGTTTCTTCTTGGGTATAGTGACGTATTTCGGGTATAGTGACGTAACGTCTGCAGAGCCGTTACGTTTGGACCAATCCGCGGACTTCCTCACACACACACACTCGGCGGGACGTTGCGAGGCTCGCTGCTGCGAGGAGCGGGACACTGTGAGCTGGCTCACTGGTGTGGGGTCGGCGAGACAGCGAGACACAGCGGTACTCAGCCTGGGCACACACACAAACTCCCAGCCAGGCTGCGGGTGTGTGTGTGTGTTTCGGGCTGGGTTTCGCTGTGTGTCGCTGTCTCGCAGACGGCCACTGGGCTCACAGGGAGGGGGGGGGGGCAGGAGCTCCAACGAGCCGTTTAGGACAGAGAGTGAATACACATGCTACACAGAGATGCTGTATGAGAAACCAATGTGAGTTTGGAAAATTGCACAATATAAATCTATTCTAGTCGACCTCAACAATGGAAATATGATCATTAGAAATGGCCATGACATGGGACCTTTAAACTTTAATAAGGGTCATTATATGAGTAGCTGAAGTGGCAGGTACAGGGAATACCTGTGCACCTCATTGTTATATTAATTATTTAAGCTGTTCTCCACACTAGAGAGGACACACACTAGAGAGGACACACACGAGAGAAGACACACACTAGAGAAGACACACACTAGAAAGGACACACACTAGAGAGGACACACACTAGAGAGGACACACACTAGAGAGGACACACACGAGAGAAGACACACACTAGAGAAGACACACACTAGAAAGGACACACACTAGAGAGGACACACACTAGCGAAGACACACACTAGAGAGGACACACACGAGAGAAGACACACACTAGAGAAGACACACACTAGAAAGGACACACACTAGAGAGGACACACACTAGCGAAGACACACACTAGAGAAGACACACACTAGCGAAGACACACACTAGAGAAGACACACACTAGAAAGGACACACACTAGAGAAGACACACACTAGAAAGGACACACACTAGAGAGGACACACACTAGCGAAGACACACACTAGAGAAGACACACACTAGCGAAGACACACACTAGAGAAGACACACACTAGCGAAGACACACACTAGAGAAGACACACACTAGAAAGGACACACACTAGAGAAGACACACACTAGAAAGGACACACACTAGAGAGGACACACACTAGAGAAGACACACACTAGAGAAGACACACACTAGAAAGGACACACACTAGAGAAGACACACACTAGAGAAGACACACACTAGAAAGGACACACACTAGAGAGGACACACACTAGAGAAGACACACACTAGAGAAGACATACACTAGAGAAGACGCGCACTAGAGAAGACACACACTAGAAAGGACACACACTAGAGAAGACACACACTAGAAAGGACACACACTAGAGAGGACACACACTAGAGAGGACACACACTAGAGAAGACACACACTAGAGAAGACACACACTAGAAAGGACACACACTAGAGAAGACACACACTAGAGAAGACACACACTAGCGAAGACACACACTAGAGAAGACACACACTAGAAAGGACACACACTAGAGAAGACACACACTAGAGAAGACACACACTAGAGAAGACACACACTAGAAAGGACACACACTAGAGAAGACACACACTAGAAAGGACACACACTAGAGAAGACAATCACTAGAGAAGACACACACTAGAGAAGACACACACTAGAAAGGACACACACTAGAGAAGAAACACACTAGAGAAGACACACACTAGAGAAGACACACACTAGAAAGGACACACACTAGAGAAGACACACACTAGAAAGGACACACACTAGAGAAGACACACACTAGAAAGGACACACACTAGAGAAGACACACACTAGAAAGGACACACACTAGAGAAGACACACACTAGAAAGGACACACACTAGAGAGGACACACACTAGAGAAGACACACACTAGAGAAGACACACACTAGAGAAGACACACACTAGAAAGGACACACACTAGAGAGGACACACACTAGAGAAGACACACACTAGCGAAGACACACACTAGAGAAGACACACACTAGAGAAGACACACACTAGAAAGGACACACACTAGAGAAGACACACACTAGAAAGGACACACACTAGAGAGGACACACACTAGAGAAGACACACACTAGAGAAGACACACACTAGCGAAGACACACACTAGAGAAGACACACACTAGAGAAGACACACACTAGAAAGGACACACACTAGAGAAGACACACACTAGAAAGGACACACACTAGAGAGGACACACACTAGAGAAGACACACACTAGAGAAGACACACACTAGAAAGGACACACACTAGAGAAGACACACACTAGAAAGGACACACACTAGAGAAGACACACACTAGAAAGGACACACACTAGAGAAGACACACACTAGAAAGGACACACACTAGAGAAGACACACACTAGAAAGGACACACACTAGAGAAGACACACACTAGAAAGGACACACACCAGAGCGTCTCAGAGTCTTTTGAGGACACAACATATTCCCGCAGGAATCAGGTTGCATTTCTTCATTTCTGGCACACTTTTCACCAAACTCCCAAAGCCATTTTAGTTTTTGTTACTTAGCATTGTTAATCCAGCCAAGTGAAAAGAGAGTCATCAGTGTGGACGTGCATGGCTTCCTTAAGCACACTCACATTTACACAATGCATTTTGAAGGACACTACAGATTAGTCTAATTGTATTACATTATTGGCTAACTCACATTATGCGGTTCTTACATTATTGATGGTTATGATGTCAGTAAATGCTACAAGGCTTTAAAATAAGTGCTTCTGGCTACAGCAGAATATTTTCTTTTGTGCATTGTCACTGCAGCAATTATGTAATATGCAATAAAAATATATCTACTGTATACCATCCATTGTAAGATCCATTGGTGGCCCCTTGAGTTAGTGTTATTTAATTGTAGTGTCATTATTTCCCCTAATGTTCCTGCTGCTATGTGAGCCTGACATCCTTTTAGGAAAACAAACGAGTGAGGGTAATTCAAGAAAGCCAATTACTAGCAAGGCTTGTGATGGAAGAAATATAGATTTTTCTTTTTTGCTGAAGCAAGCAATAATACAAGACCATATAACTATGCATGTCACGGGAACACAAATCAATGTTACTGAGCAGAGCGCTGTCATAGTTAGGAGCCCCGAGGAACTGCAGGAAACTGTGTAGGAGGAGGAAGAATACATTATCACTGATGTGGAGGACATTGCTTCATTAAACACAAGTAAAACAACCTCTTACATGCATTCACTTAGTTTTTGTCCACTGGGGGGCAGCAGAAACGAGCTGTGAACACAATACTGACCTGGCAAACTTGTTAGCAAACAACTAAATACAACACTATTACACATATTACAAAGAGCTATTTAATGGATTGTTAAACGGGCCCTATTCTGCTGATGTTCAGGTGTATATCAGTATGTAGTGTCTCTACTTTAAAGAGTCCTCTCCTGCTGATGTTCAGGTGTATATCAGTATGTAGTGTCTCTACTTTAAAGAGTCCTCTCCTGCTGATGTTCAGGTGTATATCAGTATGTAGTGTCTCTACTTTAAAGAGTCCTCTCCTGCTGATGTCCAGGTGTATATCAGTATGTAGTGTCTCTACTTTAAAGAGTCCTCTCCTGCTGATGTCCAGGTGTATATCAGTATGTAGTGTCTCTACTTTAAAGAGTCCTCTCCTGCTGATGTTCAGGTGTATATCAGTATGTAGTGTCTCTACTTTAAAGAGTCCTCTCCTGCTGATGTTCAGGTGTATATCAGTATGTAGTGTCTCTACTTTAAAGAGTCCTCTCCTGATGATGTTCAGGTGTATATCAGTATGTAGTGTATCTACTTTAAAGAGTCCTCTCCTGCTGATGTTCAGGTGTATATCAGTATGTAGTGTCTCTACTTTAAAGAGTCCTCTCCTGCTGATGTTCAGGTGTATATCAGTATGTAGTGTCTCTACTTTAAAGAGTCCTCTCCTGCTGATGTTCAGGTGTATATCAGTATGTAGTGTCTCTACTTTAAAGAGTCCTCTCCTGCTGATGTTCAGGTGTATATCAGTATGTAGTGTCTCTACTTTAAAGAGTCCTCTCCTGCTGATGTTCAGGTGTATATCAGTGTGTAGTGTCTCTACTTTAAAGAGTCCTCTCCTGCTGATGTTCAGGTGTATATCAGTATGTAGTGTCTCTACTTTAAAGAGTCCTCTCCTGCTGATGTTCAGGTGTATATCAGTATGTAGTGTCTCTACTTTAAAGAGTCCTCTCCTGCTGATGTTCAGGTGTATATCAGTATGTAGTGTCTCTACTTTAAAGAGTCCTCTCCTGCTGATGTTCAGGTGTATATCAGCCTGTGCTGCAGCACCTCTTTTCACCCTCTGTCTGAAACCAGAGCCCAGTCTGTTGTGATTGGTCAACCGCTTAGAGATGTCCCGCCCCTTAACCTATCACGTATAAGTTGGAGTGCTAAGCAATAGTAGCACGAGTGTTACATCGTGATGTCACTATGAACACAGGGATTCTAGCTATTGCAGAACATTTACAAAGAAATAAATACATTTTTTAAAGCTACGGCTGTGCCAAATAATATTTGTTGCGGGCTTTGAAACTCAGTGAACTGTCACATTTTCCCGAAACGTATCGTCATTATATAATTATTTTGAACTGTACTTACTTTGCTAATATTGTGTAAAAAGTTACAAGGACAAAAACATTTCAAGGATTTTCAGCATTTTATCGATACAAGGCAACCAAATATGCTAATAGCATATCTTAAAGACCCAGTGAAAGCCCCAACAAAGTATTGAATGAACAAAACAATATTTAGAGACTATAGCCTATGCTAACAGCGCCACACACAAACACACACTATTCATCTGAGAATGTATGATGAATAATGTGGAATAACTAGTGCCTAATTCATGGGCTATTTGGGTTAATGCGTAAGTAATCATTTCTGAAAAGTCAAAACAATTATGGATTTGAATAGTGATTTGGATCTGCTTTACAACAACAATTTCAGCAACATAGGAATGTTTTTGCACAGAGTATTTCTTTTTAGAAAGCGGAAATTATGCTCTCGGTGGGCGATTTGCATATACATATAAATCGGCTGAATAAGGGCATTAACGCAGCTAACCCCTCTGGGTAACATGTGGTGCCCTGGTCACAGAGAATAATAACCAGTGTATGTTTTCCACTGATATTAGTATGCGAGTAAACAGCCAAATATGTTTGATTATGGAAATGTACAAAGGTGAGGCCGCCTCCACAATCCCCACCGACCGAACCGGCTGATATATAATTCACATCCTGCAGGTCTCGAGCTTTAAAATGATAATGACCTCTGAGCAGATGTACCACTCATGTGATCCTTGACAGGAGACATTCTCTTTATTGTTCTTTAGAGTTCAATAACTGGCAGAACCAGAATTCCTTTATTTGTCCCACAATGGGGAAATTATACATTATTATTATTACCACAGCAGAAGTATAGTGCAGATAAAGGGAAGAGAATAAACTTGCATATTGCGGGTTGTAAATAAATTGAGAGAAACAAGAAAGCACGAGGATATGCACATGCATGTATATTGCACAACGTTTTATATTTACAGGCAGTGTATCGGGGGTATCAGAGTGTGTGTGTGTGTGTGTGTGTGTGTGTGTGTGTGTGTGTGTGTGTGTGTGTGTGTGTGTGTGTGTGTGTGTGTGTGTGTGTGTGTGTGTGTGTGTGTGTGTGTGTGTGTGTGTGTGTGTGTGTGTGTGTGTGTGTGTGTGTGTGTGTGTGTGTGTGTGTGTGTGTGTGACCTGCCGTATCTCTGTTATAGAACGAACACTCAAGCTTTCCTGTTTATTTTGTTTCTCATATGTGTTGTTTTTTTTGTGTTTCCAGGAGTCTGAATGAACTGCGGGTGTTACTCCTGGAGTCTCATCGCCACTCGCGGGACATGGAGAAAGATATGACCCGTGAAGTGCACAAGGCCGAGTGGAAGGTGAAGGAGCAGAAACTTCAGGAGGACATCAAGACCCTGCGCGAGAAACTGCTTCTGCTGGTGAGGAAGTGTGATGAACGCTGCTTCTGAACTGCTGGGATTACTTTTGATTTCCCCTATTCTAGTAATGTTGTGGTTGCTAAATCCGCAGCAAGGATCATGATACAGTACATACACAAAAGCGTTGCGCGTTCTACTCTAGAAATCTATTATAACTTACCAAGGTGAGTCAGTAGATCATAGATTAATTGAGTGAGGAATGGGGAAGTCTTACTGGACACAATCAACATCCTGCTGCTAAGCTAAGCTATCCTCCTGGTTCCAGCTTCATATTGAACGAATAAAAAGATATATCAAACTTTTCAAGTGAATTTTACGAAATGTCAAAATGTTTCTTTAAATTGTTTTAACCATCATGAAGTTAGAGTTGCATAAAAAAGAGGAGCCTCACCCTGGTCTCAATGCCTGTCATGATATACAAAATACTCTATACATAATTAAAGATGGGAAAATCATGAGGCATGACTTTTTAAATGATTAGTGGAAGTCAACGTTAAAGGTGGATACCCAATGTCTACCAATAACTATAGGCCAATTAGTATCCTTCCTACAGTATCAAAAGTCGTTGAAAAACTTGTAGCTGAACAAATTATGAACCATCTGAATAACAGTGCTTTTTCTCTGCATCCAATGCAATTTGGCTTTAGGGCCAAATACTCTACAGAAACAGCCAACTGTTTCTTCACAGAACAAATCAAATCCAAAATGGATAAAGGTGGTGTTGTAGGAGCAGTGTTTCTCGACTTAAAGAAGGCCTTTGACACTGTTAACCACAAAAAACTCATATCTAAGCTATCCAGCATTAACTTCTCCACACTAACACTTAAATGGATAGAATCATATTTGTTCAACCGTTCTCAGTATGTCAGAGTACAGAATAATCAATCATCTAACCTCCAGCTGTGCACAGGTGTCCCACAAGGGTCAATTCTGGGTCCATTGTTATTTTCATTGTATATAAACGACTTACCATCGATATGTCCTGACACAAACATCCAAATGTATGCTGATGATACTGTAATTTATGTTCACGGAGGCAGTCTGACACAAGTGGCTAATAAACTGACGAACAAGATGCTTCATGTAACAGCTTGGTTGGAGCAATGCTGTCTGCAACTAAATGTCAGTAAAACTGTATGTATGTTCTTCACCAAAACCAAGTCCTCCTGCGTTGAGCCAGATGTGTTTGTGTCCGGGGAGAGGCTACAGGTGGTCTCAGAGTACAAATACCTGGGGGTCTTAATTGATTCAAGACTCAATTTTAAGGCTCAGGTGAAAAAGGTTTGCAACAGGGTCAAATTCAGTATGTTCAATTTGAGGTTTACCAGGAACTGCATGTCAACAGAAGCGGCTCTGATGTACATGCACTCTATGGTTCTATCTCATATCACCTACTGCTTAACAACCTGGTCACATGCCGTACAACCACTCTTAAACCCCTGGAATCATTATACAAACAAACACTTAAAATAGTAGATAAGAAGTCAGTTTATTCTCATCATTGCCCAATACTCACAAAATATAAGTTGTTGAGCTGGGAAAATGTAATTAGATATTCAAATGCTTGCCTCATGTACAAAATAATACACGGCCTTACCTCACCTCCGCTCAGACATTTTATCACCATACGCACACCTGTAACTAGGTCAACAAGAGCTGCAGCAAGAGGAGACTGCGTTGTTCCATTAAGGGAGAGTTCATTCAGCCAATCTTCTTTTTCTTTTAAAGCTGCACAACAGTGGAACTCAATCCCAGTAAAGATTAGAGAACAAAACACCTGAAGTTTATTTAAATCTAACTTAAAAACATGGTTAGTGGAAAGTCAGCTCTGTCAACACTGACACAATCTGCACTTTACAACGCTCTGTTTGTACATATGCCTTGACCTGTTGCTATCTGTCTGCTTTGTGAATATCTATTTTAGTTTAGTTTTTATGTTTTTATATATGCTTTTATCATAATATAAGTATCTCTGTTGAATGTTGTTTTACTTATTGTATTTACCTGTTATTTGAAGTGAATTTTAGTTTTTAGGATGACTTTTAACATCTGTCCAGGGACTACAGACGAAAAATAGCCTGTTGGCTAACTCTGGCGCATTTACAGAAATGTCAATCAATGTGCACTGTCAAATAAATATATAAACTTTTTTTTTTTTTAAACGCAACAGATGCTAAGATTGTACGGGTAAAAATCCCAAAAATGCTTCGTCCTGCATTTCCCAACTTGATGGCATCTTTAGGTCATACCGTGCCAAATAAACTCAACTCTTTAATTTTCCACTTGGAACACAGACCATTGCTACATATATGCTCAAATATATTGCCAAAAAGATTTGTATAATGTTAAATATTTACCACTAATACATATACATTCTATCACTGTTTTCTTGACAGCCTCCCGATACATAATTTGTGACTTTTTTTCAACCTTATTCATGTTTCATTTTTGTAGCTGGAATGGGGTTTCTCCAGATTTCAGAGTAGAGCAAAATGCTGTTTCCACAGACGGCTGAAAGCAAGGCAGCTGTTGGTTAATGTAATCACTGCCTAATCAGTGGCAGCTGAGTTGATCCCTGAGAGGAAGTTAATATGTTGAAATATGAAAATATGGGTAGCTTATGGTAGGTGATAGAGGTGAGATTATTGTCACCCATGTATGTTACATGCGCAGTAACTAGTCTGCACACATTATGCGTACTTATGAGTACGTATGCGGGCGTATGTTGTATGTATGCATGTTATTTCAAGGTTTCAAGGCTTTTATTGTCAAGTGTGCTTACTGTAGCTACAGTGTCGTTATGACAATGAACATATTAGGTCACAGGCTCCTCCAACAGTGCAACACAATATAACAGATAAGTAAATCAAATCAAATAGATTATAATAGAAACAGAATATAATAGAAACTGTTTAAAAAAATGACAATAATAAGAGTATATAAAAAAATATGAAAATCTGCTCTTTACCATTTTTTTACCAACATACTGACTCACTCCTGCTCTGTGTGTTTCAGGGTCGGGAGCGGTCCTCCCCGGACCACCGGCGGCACTCCATGCTGGACCCCTCGATGCTGGACTCGGAGATGAGCCGGCTCCGGCAGCGGCTGCTCGGCACAGAGGACGCCCTGCGGGGGGCCATGGAGCACAACCAGCAGGTGGACCAGCTGGTGCTGGCCATGCGCAGACACCCCGAGAAAAGCCCGGTAAAACCTCAACTTCACTTCACAATAATAATACATTTTATTGGTAAAGCACTTTTCTTTGCTATAAAGTAATCCCAAAGTGCTAAAAGGGGCGTAATAGAAAAAAGAAACACAAGTTTAATCAAAGGCTTTTTTTAAAACATGTTCAAAGCATGGAAATAGTTTGGATGTGAGGCAGCTTGGGAAGAAGTCTTTAAAGATTCAAAGGCAATGTTAGCAGGGGCGGTTCTAGGGGGGCCAGGGGGCCAGTGCCCCCCTAACACTGACCTCTGACCCCCCTGTGGCCCCCCTAACAATGAAAAGTTTTTTTTTTTTTTTTTTAAATGTATATTTTCTGGTACTCGGTTTTGCCTAAAACGCAGGATTTTGTTGCTGTAATGTGAGATTGTGCAGACACCCTTATGTAAAGTAGAGATGTAACTGTTCATTGCCTTATTTTTATATAAATATGGTGTTAGTGCAAACATTGCACTATAACTTAAGCTGAAGCTAACAGTAATAACTATAAGATCTATCTGAAATAAATATGTGTACTGAAACAAATACCAATAACTGTATTGCATTGTTTTCTTATGCGCAATTACTTCATACTGTCTAGTTCTCTTTTTCGTCCTGCATTTATTGTGCCCCCCTCAGAAAATAACTGGCCCCCCAGTGGCCCCCCCAGTCAAATTGGTCTAGAACCGCCACTGAATGTTGGCGATGAAAATCTTAAGTCCCTAGCTCTCAAACAGTGTAGATATAGACATACATGATACTTGAAAGTCACGTCCAACATACGTCCGATATACTTATCTACGTACATGTAAAATAGAATATGGAATAATTTGACTCTGCTATCATTTTCAACGTATGGAATAAATTAACGTTAGCTTAGTTTATCACAAAGACTGAAAACGGGAAAACAGCTAGCCTAATATCTAATTACCCATGCTCCTCTCTAAAGCGTATCCTGCCTCCCTGTACCCATCAGAGTGGTTACAATCTCCACATCTGAGCTCAGCGAGAGCCAAAAATGGGTTGAAATAGTCCTTTGTGTTAATGTAACTCACAATACAAAGACAATCATGTTCAGAATTGGCTTTAACTATTTAACTATTGTCTTCGTGTTCCCCCTTACTTTGGTGTTCGCGGTCAAATTTGACCGGTCCTGTTTTAACTGCTATTACATTAACACAAAAACCATTAATCATCACCACATATCCTTTAACACCCTTTCAAACTGTACATATTGTATCAGACTACTGGTATACATGAACAACTGCAGTAAATATACAAAGAACAGACACTGAACATGTATTGTGTGTGCCAGGTGTGATCCATGTGGGGGGGTGGGCACATAAGAGCGGGGGAATGATGAATGAAAGTAGTGAATCGGTCCGATTTTACCCGAAGACAACAGGAGGGTTTAATCATCAATTGTTTACTGTGTTTTTCAGGTGCATGGTGTAAACTCAGCCAATGGGATTCATCATCAGGAGTCCGGCAGTACTCGAGATGTAAGTACTATTTCATTACACTTAAAACCATGATTGTGGCAATATTACAACATCTGTCAGTGCTAAGACATGTTGTTTCCTTTCTTTTCAGGAGCAACACTGATATGAGCAGAAGAGATCAGATTGAACTGGGACATCTTAAAGAAAAAGCTGGTCCAACGTTTCCTCCTGACATTACATTACACATTACTCGTTAGACGCTTTTATCCAAAGCGACTTACATACTCAACACTGTGGGCAATCCCCACAGGAGCAACTGGGGGTGAAGTGTCTCAGGGACACAACGACATGCTGACTGCAGTGGGGTTTGAACCTGTGACCATCTGATCCCCAGACCATGCTCTATCCTCTGCGCCACACGCCTCCCTGACCCTTCGATGGACGCCTGATGAAGATTTCAGTTTACACTCCAAACCAAAACAGCGAATCTCCATCTCCAGTGATTTTATGTGTTGTTGCAGAAAGCACCTATTAGCCAATCATGAAGACCGCTTAAAGTACTATAAAATATAAACAGGTAATGGGACATGAAGAGATATTATCGGTACAAACTCTGTGACAATTCCTAATTTTGAACCGGAAGGCAAAACGGCTGATGGACAACGACGTGAAGAACTGAAGATCTGTTTGTTTTATTTATTGCTTTTACTTTGATTTCATCCTGTATGAGTGAGCTGTTTTGGCCAGTGGTACTCAGAGCAATGGCTGGCTTTTATTTTAGGGAGTTTGGCTCATTTGTCACTTTACTTCATATCTAATGAGAAGTGTTAGAAACCTCATTACGGTCAGCTCTGTCCAGTGTTCACGCTGCCGCTTTAGTGTACAATATGATCAATAACTGTGGAATTAAAAAGGATTGTTCAAGTAATACTCCACCCCCACATCTGTCTTTCATTGAGAAAACACAAACACTGTTTAACCCTTCTTCGATTGTAATCAGGGCACATTTATTTAAAATGGATATCAATGTCGGACAGTTTTTTGTTTGGATTTTTCTTTTTTAAACAGTCCCCGACACTTTATAACCCACTTCCTGAAACATAATCCACTTCCCCTTCACTCACCAGGGTACAGCAAATACTCTGCTTCTGTTTCAGTCATCACAAACCATTTGATACTGAAAATGTGTCTTTTAAAGCATTTTCAGTCAGACAACTCACGTGTTTCTTATATGTGTATTAAGCAGCATATAGTTTGAGTTTGGCGTCTAGGCTTGGGCCTCATCACTCCACAGATTTACAAAGAACATTGAGTGATGATTAGACAACTATCCCCCGAGCCTACAGGTGGAAGCTGGGGTGGTGGGGGGGCAGGCGAGCAGCAGCAACATGAAACACAGCAGCAGGAACATGAACGTAGCAATAGCAAGTGAACACAGTGGCAGCAGCAGCTAGCGAGGCAGAGGCAGGAAGACCTGGCAGCTTAAATAGAGCGGCATGTTTAGGAGAATGTGATTGGTTGGTTGTAAGAGGGACGAGGTGCGTCACATGTTAATGTATCATTGGTGCTCGAGTTGACTGCCTGAACTAGCTCGCAGGCTTCGCCCCATTTTATGTAATTTACAAAAGCTTGCAAAACCCTGTAGGAGCGAGTTACAGTTATTCCAAAGTGTCATGAATGAAAATCTTGTACTCTGAAATTATTCCACGTCTAGATCTGGGTCTTTAAAGTAAGCCATCAAGCACAACATGGTGTCTTGATATAAGAAATAAGAAAGAGAGAGAATCTTATTATTCCCTCTGGCAGCCTTTGAGTGCATTATCACGCTTATATAACAGCCACTTCTAAAAGAAAACATTAAAGGAAAATCTGATTCATATGTGTTCATATATCAGGTACAGGTCTGATGTTTTGCAATGCAACTTAAGTCAAATAATTGATCCTTTCCTTTACGTCACACTCAACGTTTGTCAAGCTTCTTTGTCTTTGTGAAGAAATGCTGATAGATGTATAAAACAAAATGTTCTCCGTACAGAAGAAGCAGCCATTGCTTCACATACAAATACAATTAAACATTTAGCAATTGTTATTTTTGTCCTCAGGCATTCCCTACACATCAAGTTAAAATCAAACAGTACATTCTGACATCTGTGGCCTCCATGTTTACTTCAGACAGCAGAAAGTGTATCGTTCCTTTTAACGTGTTACAGTTCAGCCGAGTTGACCCTGGAATCGGATTTTAGCCGCTTTTTAAACGTTGTTATCCAAACCAAAAAAGTAAATAATCCCAACTGAGGACTTTGACATGCATTGTGACACTGACAACTGTCGATTATATATTTAAATCACCAATGTGCACTCTAAAGTTATCTGTAAACAGGACTGAAAGAGATTATTTCAACCACAAATCTCTCTTCAGGTGTCGGGTAAAGTGGCTTTTGGACCAATATTCCTTTGAAATAGTAAAATGTTTTGCTATGTGCAAAGGACTTCTTGACAGGGCTTCTCCTAAATGTATTTCTGATTTATGTTAACGAATGCTTAAGTGATTACAGTTAATTATTCAAGACTTTTATGTTCTCTTATATCAAAACACATTTTAGCAGTATCAGCTTTTTTTTTTATGTATCAGCAGGGCCGTCCCTCCCTACAGGCCGATCATGCAGACTGCATGGGGCCTCACCTTGCGGAGGGGGCCTCACCTTGCGGAGGGGGCCTCACCTTGCGGAGGGGGCCTCACCTTGCGGAGGGGGCATCACCTTGCGGAGGGGGCATCATCTTGCGGAGGGGGCATCATCTTGCGGAGGGGGCATCATCTTGCAGAGGGGGCCTCATCTTGCAGAGGGTGCCTCAACTGGCAAATCTAGCCGCTGCGAGGCTCCACTAGCACCCCTCCCGTCGACGCTCGCAAAACAGAGGGCCTCATCATATAACTTTGCGTGGGGCCTCATGTTGGCCAGAGACGTCCCTGCGTATCAGTACAGACTCCATCCATACACGAGTATTAACTTATATGTAAATATGTAACAAAGCAGTCTTATTTGATGCTGTATCTAAATGTATTGGATTACTTTACTGACCTTTTGTTAAGTAGGGCTACTGAAGGGCTGCCACAGGAGCTAACACCCAAACAATGTGTAAAATGTTACTCTCATAATTCCCCAGGTTAAGAACATCTGGATTTTATTCGCGAATAATGTTATCGACACGTTAATAATTTATACTGTAAATCTTCCAAATATCGTTTTATCCATAAATTCACTCTGAGATCCTGTTTGTATTGGTCAGAGGGAACTGTTGCTGTACAGGAGACATGAATCCTGAGCAAAACATGAAGGGCAGACGCTGGTCGGCGACGATAATACTTACATTTTCCATTGGATATTGTACATGGCCTTTTATGCTGGAGGGTTATACCCTTTGGATTATTGCTGCAATGGTTTCGGAGATTGAGTCATTAAATATTAACAATGTGGGCAAAGGCTGGTGGTGTTTTATTTCACACTCTTTCATACTACTGTCTGTCTTTAAGGGCAAAACATAGTATATTTCTACAGATTCACACAGAATACCACTAAGAAATTGGTGGTTTGGGAAATTCTGCCAGTAACCATTTATCCATTCCTAAACAAAACACACAGAAAACACAATAAATCCTGTTAGAAATCTCTCGTCTCAGGCAAATATTTGGTATTAAAGTGACTTGATGAGAATAGTCTGCAATAACTGAAATGTGTGGAAAGATGGGCTTAACCTCCTGACACGCAGACATTGCATGTTTATTTACAATTTCTGGATTTATAACCTCCACACATATCACTTTTACTTGTCGGCCTTGGCAAATGTCAGGCCTTATCCAAACGTCCCAGTTTTTTTGCTAAAGGGCAAATGGGTTATACTGGTGACATTTAATAAATAAGTGATCACTTTTTCGGCTAAGCAATACAAAAAAGCACAGGCACAAATCAATTTTTTGCTCTTGGTTTAACTAATTATTTCATAGCAGTTTAGCGGTGTATCAATGCAACCAGAACTAACCATATTATAGTGATATAGTGGATTATATACCATTTGATGATTAGGTTTAATATAAATCTGACTGCATTTATTATAAGATCACTTGTATTCCCCTTTCACTAGGATATGAACTTTCCCCTATATTACATTGACAAGCTATTTTAGGCACAAGAGCTATGGTATTACAGTAATTACCAGAAGATCAATGCTGTATCCACTTTGGACTAATCCTTAAACATAATTTGCATACTATCATGTCAAACCACTTTCATGCAGTCTGAAAGGATTTTTTTTGTGTAAACCAAAACTGACAGTGTGTGAAGTTGCAGCCAAATGGCAGACAGGGATTTAATCAGTCACACTAATAAAATAAAAAACAATATATTCCCTCTCCATGTCAATGTTGTTCCCCGAGGGTATTTCCAGAGGTTCCTCCGCTAATCCTGTATGTAAATTGCAGCCAATAGATGCTGTTGTTGAGTTGGGTTTGGATTAGCAGGAGGCGAATGAGTTTCAATTTTACTAGATTACAGAACAAAGAAAGGGGAAAGGGACACCCTGCTCTGTTAAAGGGAAAAACAGACATAAACTTAGATTAAATACATATATAGTAGACTGTAAAACGTGTCATCGAAGTCCACAGTGTGATGTTCCGGATTACGACGTTTTAGAGGACATTGTGGATGAGAATTGCGAGTGTTTCTGATGGATTAAAACGGGGGAATAAACCTATTCCGGGATTGACAGCAGCAACAAGGCTATTTAATCGCTAATTAAGGTGAGATTTCGCTATCCCTTTTAATATTCATGACGAGTTACATTGCTTGCTTTCATTAAACGCGTAGTTTTGTATTACTGTACATTCAAAAATTACAGATTATAACCTCATTTCTGGACTGGGGAGGAGGAGATGAAAGGAAAGTGCTAACGCTAGCTAGCCTTAGAGCTAACGATAGTAAGCTAGCTAGTTAGCTAACCCAACGGTTATTATGATACATTTAGCTAATTACCAGCGTTGATTAGTTTGACATAACGTTACGGTGAGTAGCGAAGGAAGGGTTATAGTTGTTTAGGAGTTAAGTTAACCTCAGAGGTACGTCTCCATGTAACCTTGTGCTAGCCTGTGTTTATGATTAGGACACTGCTTGCTAAATTATACCTCATATATTGCTATCACTAATAAGGTTACCGAGCTACTCCAACAAAGCCAGCTAGCTAACGTAGCAAGTGTAAAGAAAAACAACACATGTGAAGTTCAGAAAAGCTATTTTAATATAGAAAGCTTTAACCAACAGCCTTGCTGAGTTAATTACAGCCGTGTTACACCCTATTAAACTGCAGTAAAACAATGGGTTACTCATTACGTTATCATTTATTACCAGTGGTGAGTAGTAACTAAGTACATTGACTGAAGTACTGTACTTTTACTGTACTCGAGTATTTGTTGTTACTTTGTACTTCTACCCCACTACAATTCAGAGGTAAAAAAGTGTACTTTTACTCCATTGCATTTAAAAGATCCATAGGTTTTATTGTCATAAGCACAGTAGCTACAGTGTAGTTATGGACATCCTTCAACAATGCAACATGGATATATATATATATGTATATATATATATAAGACATACACATAACAAATGGTGCAAAAAGAAACATATACGAAATAAAATAGTGCAAGAGAATGCTGCAAGTGAGAAGTAACCTATACACACGTGCTTATTTAATATCTATAGTTAGGCTACTGTGCAGATTTGGATTAATGTGGTGACATATAATCTTTAGTTACACCTGGAGGAAAATTCACAATTACCCAAATGAATTAGCTCCACCTTTAATTATTTGTATAAGATACTTGAATGCATCAATAATTATAAACAAAACATTTACTGCTTATCCTGAAATGGGACAATCTGCATAAAGCTTT